AGCCCATCCCATTACATTTAGGCATAGTACCCACATGAGCCATACAATTAAATGTTGACTGGAAAACAATGCACAACCTAGAAGTTGAGAATTATGTTTTATGTGGAGGACATACTGAGGACTGAAATCAGGAGACAGCCTCTCAGATAGCTCTGAGGGACTGTTCTGAAGAGGTAAGGGAGGGCACAGGGTATTTAGGGGTTCTTGCAAAAAAACAAACAGGTAGTTGGAACATCAAAAGATTACTGTTAATTAAAGAAACTAGACATCTTAAGTTAATAAATGTAGCACTTTTCTATATATGGTGAGATGCAAGAATCTGGTCTCCTGGGAATCATTCCCTTGATTTGCACTTTATTTATCTAGGGCCAGTATCCTGTTTTCTCCATCCTGAATCCCCTCAGGGTGCGGCTTTGGGTGTGGCTTCAGTGGCTGATGGCTTGATGGTTATAACATCCTGTGTTACCGATAAGGCTGGCTACATTCTTTGTCTACATAAATGACTTGAATATGGATAGTAAATCTGTGGATTTGCAAAACGTAATTCTTGGAGCATTTTTATAAGGACAAAGTTCAGGGCAATTTCAGAATCACTAGCGACTAAAATTGCTATTTATACTTTGGTTTGGGAAATAAATTATTTTTATTGTCATTTCAGCCTTTCTTTAATTTTCGAGATTGTTAAAAGAGGGCAAAGAAAGAGGAGAAGACCCCTGAGTCAGGTAATCCTCCTTTTCCTGGCGACTCCCCTAGTTAAAAGCTCAGTTTACAATGGTGGTCAGTTTTTCAGTCCATTTGTGCTAATTTCTGTTACTAACAACATAGCATCTTATTTTCTATTTGAGGTTTTTGGATTTTTCCTAATTATGCTTTTGCTTTTTATTCTATCAAATGTCCATGAATTTGATAAAGTCCTCGGTATTAAAAGAAAACCAGTAAGATTCATAAAAATAAAAATAAGTTCTTGGATAAATTTATAAATTTCTACCTGCATTCAAAGTGGAGTAAGTTGGCAAGAAATTTATAAGGGGCAGATACTCTAAGGAGCACTCGCATTCAGAAACTCAAAATGGTTGCACGTGTTTATCCTGTAAGAGGTCTGTGATGAAACAGCAGGATGAAGGCTATATGTCCAAACTTAAATGCAATCTTTTAAATCACCTTTCATGTCAGGCCAGGTAAGAACTGGGCAAT